ACTACATTCAGGCACTACCACTTCCTTTTGGCACCCCCTTCTCTTCAGGGGCTTTTACTCACTTGAGGGAAGAATTTAGAAGTTGTGCTTCACTATTTTGCAAACTAGTTATTCCAGTTTACTTTGTGGTTCAGGAGGACAGAAGATGTGTGTGGCCTCTAGCTAAGCTTAATAATCATGCTCAATGATTGCTGGAAGTTATAACATATTTCCATGTTTTAGGTTTCATTAAGAGGCAAAATTCCAAAGCTGAATTCTCCTTATATTCATTTATGAGTCAGTAGGTTGGGGTTTTAACCAAGGAAATATTAAACACTGAGAAATCTCATTTTTCAGTGATCCAAAATGGAGATATCATTGATTTGCCTGGTCTATGTTTTCCATGTGTTTCCTTTTTAATTGGTTGTTAGGTTTTCATCCTAAGCTAATACAGTTAATTAGGAGACTGCCTACATTTTCCAGACAAAGAAAATCTGGTAGAGGTATCTCAAGATAATCTAATGAGCCAGCAGTCCCTTGAGCCCGTAGGAGTCAGTCCCTTCCTCCAGCTAATGGTGGATGCTGGTCTTTCCCTCCTCCCACCACTTTACCCCTTATGTACTTCCCAGCCATCCCTACCACCAGAGCGCCTATCCTTGTCTCTCTTTTCACTCATAGCTCCCTTTTATGTGTGGTCTTCCCTTATTAGAGTTTAAAGTCTTAGAGAACAGGGATTCTCCTGCTTACTTTTGTATCTCAAGCACCTAACCCAGTTCCTGGCACAGGGTAAGTGCTTAACAAATGTCTTTTCATCCATTCATTTGTCAGAGAAGTTTAAACCACCCAAATCTTCTAAAAACCAAAGGCCTTTATTGAGGCTTTGTTCTTGTTCCTTGACAAATGGTTTTTGCATTTAGGTGATTCTAAACTAATGGTTTTCCCAAAGGATCCCCAAAACTCTTTCAAGGGATACATGAGGTCAAAACTATTTTAATAATAATGCTAAAATATTTGAATTTTGAATATAGTAAATCTTGATATATCTAACCCACACAAACCAAAGTTCTTTGAGGGGAAGCTCCTCAAAAAAGGGGTCTTCAGAACAAAAAGTTTGAAAACTTCTGTTCTAAACTATAGGTAAAGAGGTCCCTTAGTAAGGCCTTCTAAATTTTCATTTTCAAGTTTTTTCCAGTTCTAAATCCAAAACACACCCTGGTTGTCTTCTCTATTGAAGCCTTATACTGGCTCTCTCTGGATCATTCATTCTAAGGAATTCAGCTCAATTGTTCAGGCTTTTCATAAGTGAGAAAAAAAAGAAAATTGTTTATTTCATTCTACCTCCTGTCAACCAGCAGGTATTAATCTGGGGACTCTTAAGTAGGTCTAACAAGGGCTTCTTATAGGCTTAAATATTTCCCTCACATATATACTTTAAAAATCCTTCCTCTGCTATATGAATGGGTTGCAAGAGAGCCACGTTGGTTGCGTTTCCTTCATTCTCAAAACTTCTCTTATTCTGGGAAAATACTTTGGTTTAGGTAGGGTTTAGCCTACAGCCAAGGTGGGGAAATTTAAGAGTACCCCTTTCCCTTTCTCCCCTCCCCTACCAGTAACTCAGGGCCGTAGGAAACTGGATAGATTATTTAAGTCATTCTACCTCAAGAGGCAGATTGTTTATTGATCATAGAGGTGGATTTGGAGTCGGGAAGTCCTGGCTTTGGTGACTACTTGTGTGATCTGGAGCAATACACTCAACTTTTGTAAGCTTCATCTATAAAATGAGGATGGTAGCACCTAATGTATAGGGTAGTATGTAAAGCATTTTGCTAGAGTTATTATTATTCTCTACATTAACTTCCTAAGGAATCCTTACTGGAATCTAGCATAACATAAACTCCCAGATGGCTGACACTTTTGTATCTTTATTTCCTCAGTGCCTTGCACCTGGTAGGCACATTAACCAATGTTTGTTGAGTTGAATTCCATACAAACCTTGAACTGAATACTTGTCAAGCTTCAGAAACCAATTTCATTTTCTTGAGGTCTTTATAACTAAGGGATGAATCATGATTGAGCGTGATAGATTAGACCAACGGTATAGAAGTGGGCAGCATATTGACTTAGCAAACTATAAAATAACATTATCCGGGTTGTATATTTTTATTTATTTTGTTAAACATTTCACAATTACATTTTAGCCTGGTTCTGGCCCCTTGGGCCACTAGTTTGACAACTTTAGACCTTTTTGTGGACCAATGCTTATCTGAACACTAGAGATTTGGAATGTGACTGGAATGTCCCTGTTTTTTTGAATCTCATACCTTTCCTTATCTTTTGTGTATTGACTGACTGACTTTGGGTTGTCCAGGTTCTCTATAAGGTAATGAGAATATATACGTGTGTTTTTGTGTGTGTGTGTATATTTTAAATACCATCCAGACTGTAAAGTAAATGTAAAAATTTAATACAATTAGGAAAAGAAAAAGATTACAAGAGGCATTGTGATAAGGTGGAAATAAAGTGGACATGATCTCTCAGCTCTACCACTTGATTCTGTCACCTTAGGCACATTCCTTTACCTCTCTGAATCTCAGTTTCTTTCTGAGTAAAATAAAGTAATTCAAACTAGAAAATCTGTAAGATCCCTTCCAGCTCTGAATCCACATTCCTATAATTTCTTGTCAATAAAAGCTGACATTTATTTATCCCCCTATGATTTGCAAAGCACTTTAGATTTCTGATTTCTTTTGATCCTCACAACAACACTGTAAGGTGGGTGCTCTTATCCCTTTTACAATTCAGGAAACTGAGGCATTGGATTTAAGCCCAGGTCTCCCTGACTACCACCTCAGCTTGCTTCCTCCCTTAAGAGTTAAGGAAAGACCTACAGAGATTGGTGAATATTTAAATTACTAATTAGTGGAGAGGTCTATAAAAAGATTGGCTCTCTCCTAAAGCAAAATAGTTTTTGGAATTCTAAGACAAAGTTACTAATATAAGGATTATATCAGTCTAGAGATGAACATGTTTCAGAAATGTTGTTAGTTTATGATTAGCCAAAGCATAGTGCCCCAGAGCTTACAGATGAGGAAATGAAAGCATAATGCCCCAGACTTTAGCACCATGTCTGGCACACTGAAAGTGCTACCTGTTGACTGATAAAGGTATGAAATGCATAGACTCAGAAACTCTTGTCAGGGAAAAAGTCGAAAGTTTATTGAAGAAGGAACATTTCCACATACTCTCTCCCACAGGCTGTCAGATCTCAACACGAGGGGAGTTTAGGAAAAAGAAAATGGATAGTGTAGTCATTTGAATTTTTAGATAAGAAAACAAATGGTTATAACTGTTGAATGCCTCCATATCTTTGTAATTACACTTCAGTGAACAATGTACAAAGGGACAAAGGTCTACTCAGGAAAATTAATTTTGTAGCTGAAAAAAGAAGTAGTAGACCATCTAGATGACTTTGGAAAGAGGAAGAATTTAAGGGAGTCTGGGTTTAGATCTGGAGAATTTAAGATACAGCCAAAAGTATCTCTAATGAAATCTTACATTTAGATACTTACAAAACAGACTATTACTGGAAATTAACCTCCAATTCTCAAGACTAAAACGTGGAAAACTAGGTTGATTCCATCTTTAAAGCTGTATTTTTGGGCATTTGTGCCATATTCAAGAGAAAATCATTATTGGTAATTTGTACAAAAGCAAAAACTGAAAACTGGAAACACCAGTCTGGGGCTTTATCAGATTCTTACACAAACATATTCAGCTCTAGGGCCACCAGAAGGTTATTTGAACTCTTTGAATCTCAGTTTCTCATCTATCAACAGATAATGATTCTTAAACAACTACTTCCAAGGCTGGTATGAGAAGCAAATGAGAGTATACATGTAAGGTTCTTTAGCACTATATAGATGCCTGCAGTCATTATAATTATGATCACCAGCTTATATCCCTTTAAAAAAAAAAGAATGAGTCAAAACGTCTGTCTGATAAGCAATCAGTAATTGGGAGGTGGAGGGTCAGAAGCCCTTTTGGGGATGCATGGCTTCTGGTTCATCATCCTAATTCCATACTCTTTTAGGGTGACCTGATCAAACTTTAAATGATTTAATAACCCTATAATAATTGTGATGTGTAGAGACACATTAAATTTTATACATATGGAGAAAGAAAAAGAAAGAAATGGATACTTAAAGTGTCCAAAAAAAGTAATTGAGCAACTGATAATGAGTTCTGATTACACAGGATCTGGTCTTTGCTTTCTAAAGAATTAACCTTTGAAAAGAGATTAGCATATTATTTTTTTTCCCTCTGTCTTTCTCCTCTGCCCTTCCGTTCTCTGTCTCCCTTTCTTTTCTTTTCTTGCTAGGCAATGGGGTTAAGTGACTTGCCCAGAGTCACACAGCTGGTAGGTGTCAGTGTCTGAGGCTGGATTTGAACTCTAGTTCTCCTGACTCTAGGGCCGATGCTCTATCCACTGCACCACTTAGCTACCCTCTCCCCCTCCTCCTCCCCTTCTCTCCTTGTCCCTCCCCCTCTCCCTCCACCTCTCCCTTTCCCTCCTCCTCTCTCCTTCCTGTCCTTCTCCACCCCTTTCTGTCTCTTTGCCCTTCTTCCTTTCTTTCCTTCACACAGTTTTACTTATTTGAATTAGGAAGTCAAGAAAGATGAATATTTTTTTGCTCATTTGACATTATTTAGAAAGTTTTCCTGGATTATGCTGAATTTGGAGGGATTTATGGGAAGAGAAAGAGAAATACTTATTTTGGATGGTAGATGGAAATTTGTGACATCATAAATGATTACAACACACCTCTTGTGTGTAGTAATAATAGTTGCTGGTATTTATGCAGTTAGTAAGTTTTGCATGTAAATACAATACCTCCAACACAAGACTGTGTTTGATTCTCCTTATTCTTCAATACTTTGATAATAGGACTAAGGCCAATGAGCTGTTTCTAACATTTGAAAGTGGATTTTCTTCAGCAGTGTACATATATGGAGGTGCTTGTGGGTCTACCAAGGGCAGAGTGTGGTCCAATTATCTTTGTGCTGACCACTTAAGTGGCTGATTACAGGAAGCTTTCCTGATGTTTGGGAGTAACTTGAAACTTCCATCTTTGATGAAAAAAAAAATCTGAAGCAATAAGTGGCTTCTTGACCAGCTGTATCAAAAGCCCTGGGCATCAGCACTTACTGCTTTGGCTCTTTTTCTTCAACCCTGGAGACAAGGGCATCAGAAAATTGCTGTTCTACAACAGGTAGAATGGGATGACTAGTTGAGAAAGTTCTGCTGGTAGGCCAAAAGGATCTCTGCTTAGACCAGAATGATCCCTTAAGCAAATGAGATTAGGGCAGTCATAGGACCTACCACATGTGGTTGGTAAAGCTTGAGCAGAAGAAAGGAAATCAGTGCCAGAGAGGAAAAAAAGAAGCATAGGAGTCCAGGTGAAGGAGCCCAAGAAAGACTTCTAGGAATATGGCAGAGCACAGATCTTGTGGGGCATTGGCCGTGATGTGAATCCAATGTCTGGGGTCAGATCCAGATCCATATTAGAAACACCAGGAGGTGGGTGGAAGGTGAATTTCTGAAGAAGGCTGGTAAAAAACAGAAACAATTCCATTTTGGCTAGGGACTCTCCTGCACACATCCTCTGACCTGCAAGGACAAATGTGGGGAATAGGCTTATAGCAAAAGTAGCATAAATTTAAAAAATCAAAACAGAATAAAATAATGTATAAGGTTATTTATATACCATATGGCCTTAAATAGGTCCTTTATTTATCCTCAGCCTCACTTTCCCATATGTAAACCCTTCAGAGAGAAGGTCTCACCTCCTTGTGTATACTAAGATGCCTAAGAAAGAAGGGCAGTCCACATCAGCATTGAAGTAAACAGGTTTTATTGGGGGGCCCTTACTCACAAGGCTGGTCCTTGACAGCAGAAAAACAATGGTGGACCTCTGTGCCACACTTAGGCCAGATCAGATATTGTATAGAAACAGAACAAAGAAGGCTTAGTTCCAAGAAATGGCCCATGGTCACATGGGTGGGTACATGTAAATTTTCCCATGGCAGCTATTTTACTGTTTACAGTGACTGTGATGCCATATGTCATGTTCTCAGGCTCTTGTTCCCATCATATAGTAAATATTTTATGTAAATATCTCCTAAATTACAACTAAGGTAACATTTCCTACATGAGGCTTTTTCTGATCTTCCTGCTCTTTCCCTCTTAAAATTACTCTTACTGCTTTTTTTATATGCTTTGTATTTTCTTTTGTCCATGCTGAATCCTCTCCACATCCCCCTTTCCCTGATTATTACTCATACTCCTTGAGGGTAGAGATTTTTTGTTGTTGTTCAGTGGTTTCAGTCCCTTCCAACTCTTTGTGGCCCTATTTGGGGTTTTCTTGGCAAAGATCCTGGAGTGGTTGGCCATTTTCTTCTCCAGCTCTTTTTACATGTGAGGAAACTGAGGCAAACAGGGTTAAGTAACTTGCCCAGGTTCACATAGCTAGGAAATATCTGAGGCCATATTTGAACTCATGAAGATAAGTCTTCCTGACCCAAGGCCTGGCACTCTTATCTTCACATTCTGGCTGAGGGTTGGGATTACTTCAGTTTTTTGTATTTGTATCCCCACTCTCTGGCCTGGAATTTTTTTTTTTTGGCAGGGGAATATGATTTCACTAATCTGGGAGAAATTCCAAAGTGAAAGCTATCCCTCCTATGTAGAGCTACTCCTGTGTTACTTATAAACTTTGTTGAGGATCTGGGGCATTGAAGAGTTAAGTGACTTACTCAAGATCACGCAATATGTATAAGAGTCAGAATTTGAATTCAAGTCTTCTGAACTCCAGGGCCTCCTCTTCATCCATTAGACCATGTTTTTAAAAAATTAAATTAATAAAATAATTGAAATGTGAATTGTCTTAAGAGCTTTGGGAGTTGTGGAAACTGAAGGCCTAAAACATGGAACATTTAAGAACAAAGAGAGGCTAAAGTAATGAAGAGATCTCATAGTATAAAGGAAAAAGAAAACTCAGCCAACCAAAATTGTGACAGAGGAATAGAAGGATTATACCATCTATAGAGGATATTATAGAGGAGATTCTAGTATAAGGTGCCATCCTTTTAAGATAAAATGACTTTATATTTCCATGATTTATGACATCCAGAATCCCCAAATCCATGACTTAGGACACTCAAAAAAAAAAAAGGTTAAAAAATCCCCCCAAATTCAGGAATTGATGCTCACTGATCCTGAACTCATTCATCACCCCTTCCACACCTTGTATGCTATTGGCTGTGAGGCTGCATTAGCACACCCAAGAGTACAACACAGAAAAAGCACCTCAGTTACTCCTCCCCTTTCCAGTGCCCTGGACCATGGCTCCAAGCAGTAAAAGTGTGTTCTGGCCTCAGTAGCCAGCTTGGCTAAGCCCTTCAGGAGCAAAAGCCAGATGGGACTGCAACCCAGGAAGCACTGGTGCTGGGGAAAGCAGGCTCTGCTTTCATCCAGTCCATCCAGGGAACCGAGGAAGAGAGGTAGTGGGACAGGTCCCCAGGACAGGACACCGTGTGTGTGTGCGTGTGTGTGTGTGTGTGTCTAGAAAGCTGTGTAATACCCCACTAGCCTAAGGGAAGAGCACAGCATTCAGCTAGGGCCAGTTCTGAGCACCCGAAAGTCCTTTGGAGCAGAGATCTAGGCTGGTAAACCATGAAATGTTCATCATGGGAGGAGGCTGAGACACATTGGGATCCGGCTCCAAAGGAAACCACAGTCAGAGGGGAAGAAGTCAGGACAAGAGTGATAAAGAAAATAAGAGGGGAAAAAGATTGGAAAGTACCAAAATTTCAGAAAGAAAAAAAATCCCACAAAGATTTTTAACATAAACAGATAAATCAATAGGGAAAATAGTAACAGAAAGAAATATGGCCTCTAGAGCTACAACTTCAGGCATCTATGCCTGCAAAATGAAGGAAATTACCCAACACTTGGTGAGACAGAGGATGTTGTGAAATTTGAGGAAAATATGAAACTACAACACACTTTTCCTGAATGTTTTGAAAGAGAAATTAGAATTATGAGCATGGAATTATGTCCTACATGGTAAAAATAATAAACAGAATAGAAAAACTTGAATCTGCAATGTCAAGTCTCACCAAAGAAACAGAAGAGAGAATAATATGTTGGGAATGCAAATATACAGACGTGAGAGACAGCCTAGAAGAAGAGAAACAAATGACAATAACATTAAAAGAAACTGTGTTCACTATGCAAGCAAAATATACTGAATTCAAAGACAGAATTTACCAAGATAACGTAAGGATCATAGATCTCCCGGAAGAACATCACGAGACAACAAACCTTAACAAAACCTTAACTATAATGAAGGAAATCATAGAAGAGAGCTGCCCAGAACATAAAATGAAACTTCAATGAAAAGAATTCAGTGATCACCTCCCAGGGAAGACAAACAAACAAACAAACTACAAAACAACACAAAAACTCAAGCTTCAGGGGTTGAATTTAAAAATCTAATTCAGGGGGCAGCTAGGTGGCGCAATGGATGGAGTACGGGCCCTGAGGTAAGGAGGACCTGAGTTCAAATCCAATCTCAGACCAAACACTTGACACTCACTAGCTGTGTGACTCTGGGCAAGTCACTTAACCCTAATTGCCTAGCCAAATTAAAAAAAAAAAGGAAAAGATAAAAATCTAATTCAGAAACAAGTTCCTCAAGCCATTGGGAGAAAGACCTCCAAATACAAAGAAAAGGACATTTTAATAATGCAAGACTGTATTGTATGCACTAGGAAAAGGAGAAAATGGGAAAATGTGTTCCGAAGAATAATGGAGTTCAGGATCCAGCCCAGGATGACCAATTCTGCAAATCTGAGTTCAACCATACAGGATGAAAAATGACTTTCAATAATAAAGAATTTGAAATATTTTTAAAAAGAAAATGAAAACTGAAGAGATATTTGTCCCTAGAACAAAAACAACAGAAATGCAGAAGTGAGTAAATGTAGCAGGGAAAGACAGTAATGGACAGCTAGGTGGCACAGTGGACAGAGTACTGGGCCTGGAGTCAGGAAGACTCATCTTCCTGAGTTCAAATTGGGCATCAGATATTTACTAACTGTGTGACCCTGGGCAAGTCACTTAACCCTGTTTGCCTTAGTGCCCTCATCTGTAAAATGAGCTTGAGAAGCATATGGCAAACCACTCCAGTATCTTTGACAAGAAAACCCCAGTCATAAAGAATTGGCTACAACTGAACCACAACAAAGACAGTAACAGCAACAGAGGGACCAGTAGGAATCTTCTTTCTAAAAGCTGAACACAAAGAGTCAGGGGTGAAGCAGGAATCTGGTAGAGGTAATAATGAAAAGGCAAACAACCAGTATTATGGCCAGAACCTGCCAATACCCAGCTTATGTAGATGAATGGTTCTTTTATGACACTACATTACAACGTGGGAGGACATATAAAATGTAGAGAGGGGAGCAGCAGGATAAGAGAGAAATGAATGGTGCATTGGAGTCCAATCAAGAGCTAGCAATGAGGGGAAGGTGACCATTGTGGTCTCAGAGAAGAGACTAGAGGCAGCTAGGTGGCACAGTGAGCTCCAGCCTTGGAGTCAGGAGGACCTGAGTTCAAATCTGGCCTCAGACACTTGACACTTAACTAGCTGTGTGTTCCTGGGAAAGTCACTTAACCCTGATTGCCTTACCAGAGAGAGAGAGAGAGAGAGAGAGAGAGAGAGAGAGAAGAGCCTAGAAGGAAATAATAGATGAAGAGGAGAGGGGAAAGACTGAAAAGTATCAGAAACAGAAGGAGGCCTCACTTTGGAGGTGAGAGGGAGTTCCACTGACAAATGATCTTATGAGAGAAGAGAGAAAGGTAGTGAAAGAAGATGAGGACCTTACACTGAATGGGGTCTTAGGGATTTATTTGGTACTTGAAAAGTCTATTTGCATTGGGGGGTAAGGGTAGGGTGGATGGGGGAGTTGGAACCTCCAGGGGAAACTGATACCTGAAGGAATGGGAAAGCATGGGCTCTGGAAGGAGATTTTCAGTCAAATATGGGAAGAAAAGTCAACAAGAGAGGATATAGATTAGTGATAGACTGCATAATTTGGGGCTTGGTGAGGTAAGGGCCTTAGCATGGGACAGGGCTAAGTGGCATAATGGGGAGAGAGTGCTAGAACTAGAGTCAGAAAGACCTGAGTTTAAATCTGACCTCAGACACTTGCTGGCTATGTGATCCTGGGCAAGACATTTAACCTTTGTTTGCCTCAGTTTCCTCATTTGAAAAATGGATATAATGGCACCTACCTCCCAGAGTTGTCATGAAGATCAAATGAGAAAATAATTGTAAAGTGCTTAGCGTGGTGCCTCGCACATAGTAAGCATTATGTAAATATTAGCTGCTATTATAGTTATTACAATTAATAATAATAACTGACTTGCACTGGAAATGAGAGACAGCGGAAAAGGTGAATCCATGGGACAAGACCTACAGTAGCAGAAAATGCCTAGAGGGGAAACCCTAGAATGGATACCCTGGAAACTGATGCCATGAGGAATATGGATAAATTAAGAGAGACCAGATAATTATAAGCTTACATTTACATAGCACTCACTAT